ATAAGACTGCTTGCCTAGCAAGCACAAAGCCCTGGGTTTGACCCTCAGCACTGCAAAAAATCAGGCATAGTGGCACACACTTGTAATTTCAGCACTCGGGATGTGGGAGTAGAAGGATCACAAAAATTTAAAGTCATTCTAGGCTACATAGTATTCAAGACCAGTCTAGAATACCTGAGACACTGGGAGGTGGGGAGACACATATTTTTTAACTCACTTCTGGGTGGTTCTTTTTCTGTATTAAAAATGTATGACTTGGGGGCTGGAGAGATGGCTCAGCGATTAAGAGCACTGACTGCTCTTGTAGAGGACCCAGGTTTGATTCCCAGCACCCATATGGCAGCTAGCAACCATCCATAACTACAGTTCCAGGGAATCCAGTGCCTTCTGACTTCCATAGGCATTGCACAACACAGGTACTCTTACACACATGCAGGGAATACGTATACTCATATACATAAAATAAAAGTAATAAAATACTTTTTAAAAATGTATAACTGGGCTGGGGAAATGGTAGAACCCCAGCACCCACATAAAAAGTGGGTGTGGCAGCACATACTTGTAGCCCAGGAGCTGGAAGGATGTAGAGACAAGAGGATTCCTGAACCTTGCTGGCCAGTCAGTCTGACTGAAACAGTTGAGCCCCAGGTTCAGTGAAAGGCCCTGTTTCAAAAAATAAGACAGAAAGTGATAAAGGAAGACACAGATGTTGACCTCTGACCTCCACACACATGGGCAGTACACCTACACTTGCATGTACACACATGTCTACCACGCATACAAAATAATTTTTAATGTATAATCTGTGTACATGTACACCTGCACACACACACAACCACATACACACACACACACACAACACACAAATCTATAACCATAGCCAAGCGTGGTTTACCCGTTTCGAAGAACTTGAGAAGTGAAGGCAGAAGGCCGTCGTCAGCTGTATAGTAGGTTTGAGTTTAAGGTCAGCTTAGGCTTAAAAAAAAAAAAAGAAAAAAAATATTAAAGACAAAAACCTGTAAACATTTTAAAAGTTAAAACAAATATTGGGCAACAGTTAATTTGACTTTAGTATTAATAGCATAGCCAACTTTAAAAATATTTCACCTTTCTCTTAGTAAAATAGGTAATCAGGCAATCTTCACTATTACACAGGATCTCTTTGTTGTTGTTGTTGAAACTTGATTTGCCTTTTGAAAATTATTTCAGTCCTGGGACTGGAGAGATGGCTCAACAGTTAAGAGCACTGACTACTCTTGCAGAGGACCTAGGTTCGATTCCCAGAACCTACATGGCAGCTAACAACTATCTATAACTCCAGTCCCAGGGGATTCCAACACCCTCTTCTGACCTCCAAGGGCATTGCAGGGCACAGGTACACTTAAATACATTCAGGCAATATACTTATACACATAAAATAAAAATAATAAATATTTTTTAGAAACTCCTTAAAGCCAGGTATGGTGGCTCAATGTCTATAATCCCAACCCCAGGAGGGACTAATTTAGCAGGGTCACTGCAGGTCCAAGGCAAAAATGGGCTACAGAGTGAGATCCTACCTTAATTTTAAAAATTGCTTTAAATAACTTTTAAAATAGATGCACCTATGTGATTTGTAATGGCATAATTACACTTTATTATTTGCTGTACTAAGCACAAAAATAGCACAAATTTTAAAAGGCTAAAATAGAGCCTTAGAAAGAAGCTGGGAAGGGTAGCCCACTGCCGTAATTCCAGCATTCTGCAAGCTCAGCCAGGAGGATCTCGATTTTGCGGCCCCAATGATCTATTATGCATCAAGTTCCAGGCCAGCCTGGATTATATAGTGATACCCTGTCTCAACACTAAATAATTAAAATTAAGAAGCACTCCTTTTATATATGGTTATAACAAGTATGGTTTTAGGCCTTTGCTATATTTTAAAATGTGTGTGATGAAAACCTGGTTGTATGCTATAATACTATATTGATCACTTGTAAAATAGCATAACAATTGAGACTTTTTCCCCAGAGATAAAACCTGGGATGTGCATGAGTATTTGAATAGTCTTTTTGAAGAACTAAAATCTTGGAGAGATGTATATTGGCGCTTGTGGGGAACGATCAACTGGTTGACTTGTTCAAGATGTTTTCAGGTGAGAAAGAGTAAGTCTCTTCTTAGATTTTTCTGCTTACTTAGTATTTGGGGATATGTTTGGCAACATCCAACTACTGTTTTAAAGAAACTGGTGGCAGGGACTGGAGAGCTGGCTCAGCAGTTAAGAGCACTGACTTACAGCAGACCCAGGTTCGGTTCCCAAAGCCCACATGGCCACTGACAACCATCTGTAAACTCCAATCCCAGGGGAATATGATGCCCTCTTCTGGCCTCCTTGGGCATTGCATGCACAGGTGCACTTAAATTCAGGCAAACACTGGTATGAGGCAAGAGCAGTGGTGCTGTTCAGCAGTGTTCACATGGGTCCTCATTTCTTCTCATGTTTTTCTTCTTCCCCTTTTTTGTTTAGAACTGAAGTAATCAATTCTTGTTGGACTTTTAGAAAAACAATAGGCTCTGTGTCACCTAATCCTTTTTTTAGTATAAAAAATATAGGGGCTGGAGAGATGACTCAGTGGTTAAGAACACTGGGTTCGAATCCCAGCACCCACATGGCAGGTAACAACTGTCTGTAACTCCAGTCCCAGGGGATCTGACAACTTCTTCTGACCTTCACGGGCATTGCACAACATGGGTGCGCTTACCTACATGCAAGCAATACACGCATACACATAAAATTAAAAAAATATAATAAAGTATTTTTTTAAATGTATTTAAAAAAATATATAGAATCTTTATTGCTTTTAGTTGTTTCCAGCCAAACTGTTTCCCCATTGGCCCATAGATTTCCTTAGAGGGTCATAGAATCACCTCTATACCTTGTGTTGTTCTGGTTTTTCCAGATGTGTCTCACTATAGTCTAGTCTAGTCTAGTCTAGTCTAGTCTAGTCTGGCCTCAAAACTCCTGGTTGTGTTGCTTCAGCCTCCCTAGAGCTGAGACTGCAAGTGCGTAACACCATACCTGGCTTTCTTTGTGATAATTGTGTTCACAAAAGTATTTTGTTCGTTCCTCCCTACCCCCACCCTGTGCTGGGGATCCAGAGTTGGTCCTTGAGCTGTACCACTGAGCTGTATTTCCAGTTTTGTTCATTTTTTAAAAAATGTTTGTGAATTTCATACAATATATTCTGGTCATCCTTAGATCCCCTTCCCTATCTGAACCCCAACTTACCCTCCCCCCAATGAAACCTATAAAAAAATGCAAAAGCACAAGGAAATTTGTACTTTAAGGAACCTGTAACAACCTTTTACAGTCAGTCATTCCCAGTTAATCTTATGTAATCTAGAATTTTCTGCTTAACATTTCTTATGAATGCCTCCCTTTAGACACTTTTCTCTCTCGGAAAAAGAAGAGTGTATCAGGGTGGACTGTCGGACTGTATGTAAGTCCTACACTGGGTTCTCTGTTCCAAAATTTTATAACAGCGTTTTTATTTTGGGTTTTTTTTTTGTTTTTGTTTTTTGTTTGAGACAGGGTCTCCCTGTAGCCTCAGCTGAACTGCAACTTGCTATGTAGACCAGGCTGACCTCAAAACTCACAGACATCCACCTGCCTCTGCCTTCCAAGTGCTGGAATTAAAGGCGTGTGCCACTATGCCTGGCTTTATAATGGCATATTTATTGAAATATGTTTTTTAAAAGATTTTTTTTAAATTTTATATGTATGAGTGCATTGCCTGCATGTATAAGTTCACTCGTGCTGTGTAATGACCACAGAGGTCAGAAGAGGGCGTTGGATCCCCCGGAACTGGAGTTAGCTGCATGTGGGTGCTGAGAGCCTAACCCGATTCCTCTGCCAGAGCAGCCAGTTCTCTTAACTGCTGAGCCATCCCTCCAGCTCCTGAAATCTATCTTATACAGAGTACAGTTCTTCATTTTGTGACTACCACTGCCATCAAAACATAGACTGCTTTCATCATCGCTCCCCTGTGCTCTTTTCCCATTTAATGGTTGACAGTTACTATCTACTCCTTTCTGTCCTGTATATAGTTTTCCTTTTCCAGAATGTCTTATAAATACAGTCATACAGTGTTTACATGGGGACTCTGTCACTTAGCAAAATGAATTTGAAATTTATCCATGTTGTTGCATACATCCGTTTGTTCCTTTTTATTGCTAAGCCGTCCTCTATCGTATGAATGCACTCTACGTTCAATCATCCACCAGCCGAATGACATTTCTACTAGTGCTAGTTTGGGGCCATTATGAGGAAAGCTGCTACAAATATTTCCATACTAGTTTTCATATAAACGTTAAGTTTTGCTTCTTTTGAGTAATTTCCTAGAATTAGAATTGCTGAGTGGTGCAAGCTGAGTTTACCATTTATCATGCCTAAAGTTTTCCAAATTTCCTGAATCCTTTTTTGTTTCTTTCAGCTGTGTATGAGAGTTGAAAGTGCTCCAAATAGCATTGATAACTGATATTGTCAAGTCTGTTTTTGTTGTGGTAGTTAGTCTAATTGTTAATTTTTATTTTGCCTTTGAATTTTTTTAATAAACTTAAAAAAATTTCTCTTTATTATTTTTATTTTATGTGTATGCGTGGATTGCCTACAGGTACGTAAGTGCACCCATGTTGTGCAATGCCCGCAGCAGTCAGAAAAGGCTGTCGGATCCCCTGGGACTGGAGTTACGGACAGTTGTTAGCTGCCATGTAGGTGCTGGGATTTGAACAACCAGTGTTCTTAACCCCTGAGCCATCTCTCCAGCCTCTTGCCTTTGAATTTTTATACATTTATATGTGTGTTTGAAACCTATTTTATAATTACTTCTTGGTAAGTTATTTTCTTCTAATGACTGAAAGGCCACAGTTTTCATTACTACAGCAATGAAAATATTTATTGTAAAGCATGTCAGGGAATAACCAAGTGAGCTGAAATATTTTTCTGACTTTCACTGGAATGTCCTAAATGACTGGCCAGTTATAAAATTAGGTGTATACTGAGATCAGTTTTACTTAAGTGAATTTTTAGTAAAGCAGTTTTGGTTTTGCTTTTTAGTACCTTCTTTGAGGTATAAGTGTATGCTATCATTGCTTTTTGGGTTTTTGGTTTTTTTGTTTGTTTGTTTGTTTGTTTTTTCCTTTTTGAGACAGGGTCTCCCTGGAGCCCCAGCTGGCCTGGAACTCACAAAGATCTGCCTGCCTCTGCCTCCCAAGTGCTGGGATTAAAGGCGTGAGCCACCACACCTGGCCTTTTTGGTATTTTTGAGACAGAGTTTCCCTGTAGGCCCAGCTGTTCTGGAACTCACTATGTAGAACAGGCTAACCTTGAACTCACAGAGCTCCATCTGTCTCTGCCTTCAAGTGCTGGGATTAAAGGCATGTAGCACCATGCCTGGCCTAATTCATTTCTTTTTGATGAATTCACAGAAATGAGACAATTTACCACTATCCCATTTTAGTATAATTCCAGCTTCCTAGAAAGAGCCATGAGCTCATTTGCTTTCACTCGCTGATCTTGATTGAAACCCCTGGAAAGAGCTAATCTACTTTTCTTTGTATTTCATACAGTGAAGTATACAGTATGTGGTCTTCAGAAAGGTATTTTTGTGACACATAACTTCACAACGGGGATAATTGTTTATTTTACATATTTCTTTTATCCAGGCTTTTCTCTGTATAGAATTCTCACATTGTCAGTACCACTCAGAAACAGTAGTTTATCCTACCACATTAAGTTCAGTGAGCACCGTGGGCACTGGAATTTATCCCTGCTGTAACCAGAAGGTTCTGAGATTTGATCCCACTCAACTCACAAAAGTAAGTTTGTTGTTTGGGTTTTTCATTTATTTGGTTGGTTTTTTAAAATATTTTTATTCTCTGAAAGTTTCATACATTTATATAATGTACAGTGTATAGTATCATCCACTGCTACCTCCTTCCAACTCCTCATAATACCCTCCACCCCATCCCCCTCTCAACTTCATATCTCTTTTTATTGTTAGTACTCCTTACTTTACTCTTTTTCCCCTGAGACAGGGTTTCATACATCCCAGGCTGATCTCAAATTTGCTATGTAGCCAAGGATGACCTTAAATGTCTGATCTTGCCTCCACATCCTGAGTGCTGGGATTACAGGCCTGTGTTACTACTCTTGGTTTATACAGTACTAGGGATTGAACCCAGTACTAGACAAGCACTCTACCAACTGAGCTTCATCCCTAGCCCCAAAAGATTATTTTGTTTGGTTTTTGCAGTGCTGCAAATTGAACTTATGGCCTCACACATGCCAGGCAAACACTCTACCACTGAACTATGTTCTCCCTCCCTATATGAGTCTTTAATTTTCCTTTTTCATATAACAACATATTTAAGGACTTTTTTGTATTATTTTAACTACTGTGTAATAGTCTGAACTGTGCATGTATCACAATTTATTTACTTATTCCCCTAGTGAAAAACATGGTTTCCAAATTGGTGCTGTTAAAATGAACATCCCTACATATAAATCTTTGTGCAATATGTGAATACAGCTATAGATTGCTTGATAACTAGCAAAATCTTTTTATGTGTATGAGTGTTATGCCTGCATGTATATAAGTGCACCTGTGTCATGCAGTGCCTGTGGAAGACAGAGGAGGGTATCAGATCTCCTGGACCTGGAGTTACGGATGGTTGTTAGCCACCATGTGGGTGCTGAGATTCGAACCTGGGTCTTCTGTAAGAACAGCCAGTGCTCTTAACTGCCATCTCTCCAGCATGATAATTAACAAGTTTAACTGTTTTGAATGTTGAAATTTTAAATTTCCTGAGTAGATAAAAGTGATTTAAAGCTCTCATCATCATCATCCATACAAAAATATTTATAAAGCACCAAAAGTGAGCCACACAGATGTGATCTGGCTGTGACCTGTCACACCATTGATGCCAGTGTTGATTCAGCTGATCTGACTTGCTAGATCTCCTTCCTCAATACTCCATGTGTGTCCCACTCGAAGCTACAAGCTTAGTGGAAGAGGTCTACCTTTCCCAAGGTGGGCATTTCTCCAGTCAGGGGTATACAAGTAGTTACACTCCCCTGCTTGAACTTCCAAACAAGCTCCCAGGCGAACCACACGCTGTGAGGATATGGTTTGAGAAATGTATACCTAGGAATAAATCTGACAAACTGTGTATACACTCAATGGAAAGTATAATTGGGAGAAAAAAAATTAAAAAGTGGGTAGTTCTACCATACTCATAAATTAGAGGACTCAGTGTTGTAAAGATGTAAATGCTTCCCAAAGTGACCAATATAGATAAATGTACTATAAATTGATATGAAAAGACTATAAGAGTTTTGCACAAGGAAACATTCAGTAACCCTGTAAACATGAAGAAGTCAGCCTCATTTGTGACTCAGGCAGTACACATTGAAACACGGTGAATAACAAATACACACCAGAATGACCAAAAGTAACATAATCTCCTGGTACTCACCAGAATGACTAAAATTCCGATATCTGACCAGCTGTTAGCAAGAATATGGCATAGGGGAAATTTCATATACTATGTAAAGTAGTAGAAATTGGAGTCCATCAGCAGTCAGGAAACATGTAAAAGAATGTTCATAGCAGTATTATTTGTAACAGCCCCAAGTGGGAAACAGACCATCAACTGTAAAAGAGATGAGTAAATGAAATAATAGTCATACGATGGAATACTGTACATTAAAGCAAATGCCACAGTTATACATAGCTACATGATTCAATTGTAAAAGCATGTTAAAGAAAATCGAGGCAAAACATAACTATAGCATTTAGGTTGCCCATTAGCAGCAAAAGAATCAAGAAAAGCAAGAAGTAACTATCAGAATTGGGCTAGGTGATAGAGGTTATCTTTTGAGAGGAGGGAAACAAAAGGGGGTGGGAAGGGTTACTGGATTCTTCCGTTTCTTTTTTTTTATTACATTTTTTTGGTGGCGGGGCACATACCACAGGATATGTGTGGAAGTCTGAGGACAACTTACAAGAATTGTTTCTCTCCTTCCATCCATCATGTGAGTCCCAAGGATTGACTCAGCTCATCAGGCTTGTTAGTAAGTGCCTTTACCACTGAGCCATCTCACTGGTCCAAGGGTTCTGTTCTCAATGTGAATGGTATTCCTATGGGTATTCTTAGGTATATGTTAAGATGCACATTTATGTTCCAATTTATTTGTTGCATTTTTTCTCAAGAAAAGAAGTTTTAGGGGCTTGAGAGTTGACTTAGTAGTTAAGAGCACTGGCTGCTCTTGCCAAAGACCCAGGTTCAGGTCCCAGTATCCACATGGTGGCTAATAATCATCGATAACTCCAGTTCCAGGTAATCCAATTGCCCTCTCTGGACTCTGTGAGCATTACACACATGGGTGCACTTGCATACATACAGGCAAAACATTTGTACACATAAAAATAAAAATAAGTAAGCCCAAAAAATATGACGATTTGACTAAGAAAAGAATAAATATAACAATCTGTAAAAGATTGTTTTTAGAGCCAGACTGGTGACACACACTTTTTTTAAAATAAATAATTTGAGAATTTCATACATGTATATAAGGTGTTTTGATCAAATCCATGCCCACTCCCTCCCCTCCAACTCCTCCCATATCTCCCCATCACTTTTTTTTTGATAACTTCATGTATTCTTCCTTCTTCTTTGATTTATTTATTTTCTTTTTTATGGGGCTTTGGGCTGCTCTAACATTTCCGCCTGTGAAGAGGTAACCCTAAAATCTTTTAAGGATTAGATAAAAGCTCCCAAATACTTTCAATATTTTTGGCCTTTGTAACAGAGTATGTTGCTAAGAGGCCCAAGGACATTGTGAGTTTTAGCCAAGAAACTGGGTACTTATCTTTGGGGTATTTTTACCCTAACTGCCTAGCCAGTTCCTACCTCCTATTCCTATCACACCATCCTCTGAAGAGGTTACCCAAATTTCCAATAGGGAATTGGGACGCAGACCGCTCTGGCTTTTTCCATGCTGAACAGGGATACAGGGTGAGGCTATTGGAGTACCCCTTCAGTGGGTCTATCTAAAAGACTCCCGAATTGCATAACTCTTATCTCTAGGGGAAAAATAAAGTCCATGACTGGTGAATAAGAGATGTGAAGGAGAAGTAAAGGCAAGAGTAATTAGCATTACAAGTTCTAGACAGGGAACTAGAAAAAAGTCAGAACAGGGCAATTTTCAAATGTTCATATGAGAGTCTATTGGAATTTCTTGACAAGGACTTCCAAAAGCATCCCTCTATTGGGTTCCTCCTCATTTTTCTTTTGTCTTCCAAGGCTGGACTCTAGAGTGATGGATTCAGGATTTGCTTTCAGGTATTTTGATAGCTGTTGGAGTGGTTAGAATCAGTGTCAGTTCCCTCTCAAAGGCATCTAGATAGGGGGAGAAAACAAATTTATCCATCATTTTAGAACAATAGCCGGTTGTCTCCCTTAGCTACAGGTGGGTACAACAGTATTGGAGGCCAAGATTTGAAGTCTTACATCTGAGCAGCACTTTCTGATTAGGAACAAAATCATTAATGAGAAATAATTGTCTAAATAACTTTTTTATATAGACTTAAGCCTAATGTCTGGGGAGCATAATCCCTTGAACTCTAAAGAAATAGACTGATGACTTTACTCTTTGGTTATACATTCCTTTTGGGTGTTTAAGACCATACAGTTGGCCCAAATGAATCAATTTATTTTTACACTTAAGGTTGA